TGAAAAGACTTTTTTTTTGTATGGAATTTATTTTCACTGATTTTTGATGAGTTGAATGTAAAATATAGGAAAAAAGGTATATTCGCTGGATTTTATTTTCACTGAGTCATTCCATCAGGGAAAATTAATTCCAGGCAAAAATATTTTACAGTGTTACCGGTATACAATTTCTTTGACTCCTTTTTTTTCATCTTAATCAACAATTTTGTTGGGGCGGGGGTGGCTGAGTGAGAGAAAATCACATAGATAGTGAATTCAACACCCTAAAAGTACCAGGAATTAAGTGTGAGCTTTTGTAGGTCATGCACAATGATGACATTATGGTACTTCATTTCATGAAAATCAACATGACTAAAGAGACTTGCTCTACTACAACTTTTTCATGATATTAATTACAGCAGTCTAGACTAGTTAATTTATTAACACTGAATGAACTAAATTCAGTACTTACAGTTCAGCACCATTTTATTTTCCCTAGCTCCAAAATTTTTATGTATTTTTCCAAAAATGCCCATTTTGGATGGACATAATTTCCTATTTGCTATATGTCTTGCTAAATGCTTTCTGTCAAGTGTATTTCATCAATGAGCTACATGTACACAAACAACATACTAAAACACAACAAGTCTGATCACATGAAATCTACACAGAAAACATGATAACACAATGTTTCACTATCTGGTTGTGGTTATACCTGGTTCAAATTTGATCTGGTTACTTCTGCAGAAAAATTAACTGCATGGCAACCAATTCCAATTGCTCTACTACAATGGGAAGCTCGTTATTGTATTCTCAGGGGCTGACATCTGGGCATTTTCACCGCCTGGCAACCATCGTGGTGAAAATAAAGGCCAAACGCTCTCAGAAAACAATACTTTGAGATGGTTTGAGACTCCCCTGAACAGTGTAACTAGATCACCCCTGCGTGTGTAACATGTGTAAATTTGGTTATTCAGGAATACTCCATAGTTGAGTTTGTAATGTTTTCTCAAATTTAGCTGTTTTCACCGGCTCTTCGACCGGCGTTCCACAGCAGCTCGCTCAAAGCTCATAGAAATGCATGGCACAGTGGTGCACGTCTTAGCAACGTGGAACATCTTGTGACATAGCTCCGCCCCCGAGGATACCATGAGGATGCATGGTTTAAATAAATTGTATTTTAAAGATTCACTAAACACCAAATGCAATTTTGGGTTTATATGCACTCCTACAGTTTATAAAGCATTCATTCATGACAAGAGAATTAACCTTTTCACCACCAGTTTCCTCTTTTCATCACAAATTCACAAAATAGTCTGTTTATAGTCTGCGCTTTCCTTCAGAAGATTAGGACAAAAATAGCCACAATTTCTTCAGTAAAAACTTAAATTGACTAAAATTTTATCTGCTGGCTTCAAAATTAGAGTGTATTTCCAGAAATAATGAAGATTATAAGACAAGCAGCCTATCGGCTGAGATAGCTCCGCTGTTAGCAATGCACATTTCAATTAAAGAACTGAAGACATCATTAGAAAATGAA